TATAGAACTTTCTAGCATTGAAAAAATATTTCATTTCTGGCATTCTGGAAATATAGGCAACTCCTGTTGGTAATGAGAAAAAGAGGAATATGATGTTTTAGAAAAGAAAATGAAGGTGAAGTCAGTGATAGTGATGTTTTAAGGAGGCCACAAAAAAAGGATAAAAGAGGGATCTACTGCTAGAAATAAGTTGAGAGACTACTGAGGATGCCGGATAAGATAACCTGAGAAAATAAGACAGCATCAACATCCTACAGTCATGAACTTGTAACAGGGCCAGCATTTAGAGGGGGGCAGAGAGCAACGTCATAGAATATTATTTCCATATGTAAAATAGCTTTATAAAATATAATAAAGCTATATGAAATAGCTTTATGGTGTTTCTGTATAACACTGCCACTGAGGATGTCCTTCAAAAGTTCTAGCACACTGAAGGATAAATGGAAATAATTCCTTTCTAGAATTTTTGATTTATTGCATGTAAACCTACTAACAAAGACTCATTCATTGATTTCATTCTCCGAGTCCTATTTTTTTCTCTACAACATACTGATTTTCTCAGCCTTGAGTTCTCAATCCATAGTAGTTTTCAAGATGTTGAGAACCTACTTTTGAGGTTGAGAGAGACTATACAGAATTACAGTAAAAAATGAGCTATTTACTGGGCCCCAGCTCTCTTAGCTCATTAGTTGTCTATCAACAAGCCCAAAAGGATAACATGACTAAGATTGAATGTATTATTGCCAGAATGTTAATACGCATGTTCTTGGTACTATATTTGGCAAAATGTTGTACTTAATTCCTCCTCTCAAAAAAGGTCAGCTCTCAAGGTGTTTGCATATTAGTGTAGCCAAAAATCACTCATGAGTATTCCCCAAATAACGGATGTAATTAAGGTGGTCTATCAGAACCAAATTGTTTATTTCAGAGTATCTGAAGAGATACTCTGCCTAGACCGAATGGATGCTTTTGGAGAATGCTAGTGGAGGAAAAAAACAGAGGAAAAAAGAGATGGCTTTTCTTTTTTTCTCTAATGAAAATACATCATTTGCCGTGATTACCTTGAATAGCCTGGTTAGTGTCAGCTTTCATAGAAATTCAGTTGCTTTGGACTTTATGTAGTTACATACTGAAGTCATATCATCTGAACAAGTTGCAAGAGGGCTAAAGGACAAGGCTTAATTTGGTAGAAAGGATTTAGAATAACTAATGTTTCTTTGTTTTTGAAAGTGACTTGGGCATAGTCAGTAAGGGCCTCTTAGGCTGTTTACCAAAAAGATGGAATAGCTGCAAAAATAAAGTAAAAGTTATTTCAGATTCACTAAAACAAAAACGTGATCTGGAATAAACCGAATAATGGTCCTCACTGGTACTAAGAATGGCTTGAATATGCTCATACTAAGACTAGTCTCTGTGATAAAGACGGTTGAGGAAACAAATCTTCCATGGGTTGCATGATTAGAACTCTTGCTATACTGAAGAAATTTGGAAACCTTAAAAAAAACTAAACATAGACTGAAAATATTTTTAATTCTTTGAATATTTGTTTTCTCAAGACTGTGAGATTTTATTTTATTCTGTAATTTCTTGCTATAATCTGTTTCTATTCAGTCATATATGAAATCTGTGAATTGGAATTTTTTCAAAAGTCACTGTCAGATCAGAATAAATGGAATCTTGAAGGCTATGAAACTGCATACTGCTAATGCTATGAAAGCAATCACCTATGAAGGTTAGGTTGGGATATAATCCCATAGCTCAGGGAAGTAGAAAGCATGTTTTCTTTCTGTAAAAACTGCCATATTTTTAAATTGGGGGTGCAGTGATATTTTAAGAAGGCACATTTTTTTGTAGAAAAAAATGAGTTAAAACCATAAATTTTATATCCCAGTATTGAACCATTAATGGATCTTAATGTGAATTTGCTTGTAACATTACATTCAAAAGCAAGACTGAGGTTTTTAGGATAAACCCTTAATATCACACAGGCTTTATTATGTAAATGGTACAGAAATAATGGAAAGCATGTATAGCTAAATGAGAACTTAGAAATCATCTTATTGTGAGGAAGAAGAGTCGGAAGTAGACCACCATGACATTCTCCTTTCAGTGGGAAACCTGATAAACCTTGCATAAAGATGGAAGGTGGAAGGCAGAAATGGATATGAAGATCTGTTAGATAAGGCTTTCAGAACTATTAGAGATTTTAGTGTAATGGAGGGGGCCTTCAAGAAATACTGTAGTTAATTGTAGACTGCATGAGTTTGAAAACCAGCTCTGCCAGTTACTAGCTGTGAAACCTTTGGCAAGTTACTTTCTCTGTTCCTCATCTTCCTTATCTGTAAAATGTAAATGATAGTAGCACTTTGTAGGATTCCTGTGAGGATTAAATTAATTAATGCCACTTAGAATTTAGAAATCAATAAGTGTTAGTTCTTACTACTGTATTAAAAAGCAAGGAAGAAGTTTTAGCAACTTATATGACAAATGTTGGAGCTACTTAATGTCCATTGTCTAGAAGTCTGTATTTTTAATAATTAAAGAGCGATACGTATAGGTTGAATTCTTTTGTGATATAGTGTATAATTTACGGAGTTATTGGTTCTTATCAAAATACATAGTTTTCCTAAGGAAACACTAAACCATGTTTCCTATGACTTATGTGTTAACTATATTTAGAGTCTAATATACTGAAAATTGTCCATTCCTGTTAATTTAGTTGTTATTAATTCTAGTAATTATTACACTACTATTCTCAGTTAACCAAAATTACTTGGTTTATGAGACATTAAGAGAGTGAGGTGTGGTAGTGCTTAGAACAGATAGGAAAGTTCATGCAACATAGATTATAATTTTTATTTATTCATTCTTTTTTTAATGGAGGTATTGGGGATTGAACCCAGGACCTCGTGCATGCTAAGCATGTGGCTCTATCACTGAGCTATCACCCTCCCCCCTTTGTAATTTTTAAATCATTCATAGTTATAAAATATACTAAAAAGAAATGTTGGGTACTTTACCTAATCACTGAAGAACACTGTATTTTATTATTAAAAAGACCAACAAGTAAAATCATCACATATTTATTAAATGCTTTCAGGCTAGGGCTTGCTGGAAAATTATAAGCTAGTTAGGGGAATAAAACGAAAATGCTAAGTCTTAAATAATAATAAAAGACAGAAGTAAGGGACCATAAGTGTATACCTGATTAACTAGCTAAGTAATTTGCAGTAATTCGTGTAGGAAATCAAAAGGGAAAGATAGCTGTTGTGTCAGGTGATGGAAATTTCCTTTAAGGAGGAAGCAGTATTTGAGCTAAGTTTTGGTTGACCATGAGATGAGAGATAAACAGCAAAAGACAGCTGGGGTCAGGTAATAGAAAATCAAGAGTCTTGCCAAAAGACATTGGGGCTTCATTTCTTAGCTGTAAACCACAGAGGCAGGCTTGCAGCATATCTTGCAGATTTGAAAGGTAGAATAGCTCACTGTTTGTGAAGACATTTGGGAAGTCCATACTGTTTCCTAGCTTTTAAGCAGCACTAAGCCTGAGGAAGGAATCAACTGAAGTCATAAACTGAAGATTGATGTTAACTTAGTAGAAATACCTAAAGCCTTTGGCAGCACATGCATGTAGAAAAAATACTTTATTAGGAGCATTTCCAAATTAGGTAGGTAGGAGAAAAATATGTATAATTTTCTTTAAAGAATTAGCAGTTGTTGACCACCATCCTCATTATGTATAATCAAGACTCAGATATTTGCCTCTGTTTATTCGACTTTTCTTTGTCACAAAGAATCTGAAGGGTATGTGATGTTGAATATATTGTTTTCGTTGTGAAGTACTTCTGGACTTGTTTATATGAATTTTAAAAACTAGAATATTAACAGTCTATTCCATGTTATTTTTAGTAAGTTATGTTTGTGTGTGTGTGTTCTTAAGGGAAATGATTCAAGACATTCTCTTTTTAAATTTTTGGTTTTGTATTTAAACAGAGCAAATGGTATTTGTGCTACCTTTTGAGCTTTTACCTTCCACTAAGTTAGGGACAAAAAATTTTAATTTTGAAACAATGAGGGCATGTTTCTAGTTATATATGAGGTTTTACATTAAGTTTTCATTATAGAATATAACCTAGTTTTCTCTTTTATTTTTGCCCCACAAATATTTTTATCGATTACCTACACAGTTTACTTAGGAGGATAGCAAAGCTTACAAAATATATGATCCATAAACATTATTTTAGCTTAACTGCATTGATTTATTGCTCAAGTCCTATTTACTCTTACATTTAAAGTTATTTGTTACCAGTGGGCTTTGGGATTATCTACTAAGATTAGAAATGTAATCTCAGAATAAAACTCAAGAATGTTTTTATAAATCCTAATATTGAAAGTCTAGTAGTAGTCACTGTTCATAAATACTTAGAGCACTGTTTTACAGGGAATGTAGACCTTTTGCATTTTAATCACCTGAGATGTCTAAAAATAAGAGACACCTTGGCCTTAGCTGAATTCTTCTGAATCAGAATCTCTGGGCATGGTACCTGAGAATCCCCATTTTATTTTAAAGTAGTATCTTTGGTCCTTAAGTGCATTGGAATTTGAGATTCACTGCAACCACCATTTATGCCATGCTTAGATCCATGTAATCTAAGACGTTGTCATTGTTGAAGTAGGTTTGTGTGTGTTTATGTGTGTCATGGAAGCTTTTTAGTCATTTTAAATACTTACTGGTCAGGTTGGCAAGTACCTTACTAATTTTCATAGATCCTTTGGCAGTATTTTTTTATTTTGAAGTTAATGTCTTATTAGCTATCCATAGAAACTAAGTCAAGTAGTTGAGGTAAGATCATTTCTTAACCTGCAGAATAAATATCCTTCCTTAATCCTTTTGAAGAATAGCTAGGTCCTGGCCCCCGTGATACCAGTTAGCTCAGAATATATAAGGAATAGACTGTCACCGTACATTTAGAAGTGTCCCGGGTGTTTTTAACATGTAGCTGCAACTGAAACAGCGACATACACTAATGACCAAAAGGAACAGTGATGTTGCTCATCAAAAAATTACTGATTGGCTTTGGAATCCATAGAACTCAAAACCATATGCTAAAGGTATGGCACTGTAGTGTCCAGATCTTGTTTCCCTGACTGATTGTCTCAGGCTTATGTAAACAAGCAAAGAAAGTCAGAATAAAATTATTTCTACAAAGAACATTTTCTCTGAATAATCTCAGTTCTCTGTTAGAGGCAATTTCTCTTAAAAGACCTCTGCTAAGCTTTATTAGCTTGGTATAAAGCACTGATTGGGCAGTTTACATAATAAGGGATAAAAAAATACCTTTTCATGAAGACAGAATATTTAACTAATTGATTTCTATGATTTTGATTTTTATAGGCAACTCAGATGTAATCAAGCATATATTTTTGTAATTATTCATTCTGAACAAGCAAAGTATTTTCCAGGGTGGGGCTACATTCCTATGGAACATCAGAATCAATGTGTTTAAAATTATATTTCTTAAAAATGTTTATAGAAATTAGGTTAGCCATATAAAATTAGTACTATAGAAAGTACTAAACTCTGTGCCTGGGATCAAAATACATATTCCATAGTGCTTTCTGATTCTTCTAAAGTGAAAAAAAAAATCTCATTATTATTACTATTTAATTACATTTAAAATGTCCTATGATACACACCTCCCTTTGCCCACACTTATTAAAGAAACCATAAAGAAAAATTTCAGTGTTTCCTTTAGTATTTAAAATAAATGAAAAAATATTTATAACCTTAAATTCGTGGTATTTTCTTATGTTTCTCTTTTAGATGCTTATTGAAGATATCAGTTTCTGCATGTGGGAAGTAGATATTGAATGTTATATGGTTTGCAGACAAGATCTTTAAAAAAAAGACACTCAAGGTGAGTAATAACTACAGCCTCATAAATAATCTAATTTAAATGGTCAGGGTTGCCAGATTATAATTTGATTTGCTAAACTTGCTCACTTTTTTATCACTGGCCCTGTCTAAGCAACTTCACAACCACGTCCATTCGTATTCAGACACAAGTTTTTATGCCCTAATACCATCTTGTCAGAAAGTATCAGATTTCATTAATAATGGGCAGTTGATAAAATTGATGTATTATGGAAGAGTGCAAACCAATTAAGAAGAATGGAGAAGAGATTAAATAAGCGTCCATCAAAACTGGGTGCATAACTCAGTAGAGTTTAACTCGAAAAACTTGAAAAACTAATTTTACAGAAAGCTACTATCCACTGTATTTTTTAAATGTATGTATTAATTAGTTCCTTAACCTTGTTTTTTAACCACTTCTAAAACCCTGTCATAGTTTCAATTATCATAGTATTACCTCTGAATACTAAACCTCTTCTCACTATTTCTTAAGTCCCCAAAGCTTTGTCTTGACCTACCATATCCTTTCACTTAGCATATTTTGTTTGTCTCTTATGACTGCTTACATGCTTACATTCCTAAGTAAATTTCTGAATACACTTAGTAAAATTTTGAGTGAGATACGAGGGGTACAAAATGCAAAAAAAAAAAAAAGGTACTTTAAATAATTTTGTGTGACAAGTAGGTACACCAGAACCTTGGAGAATATTCAGCTCTAAAATCCTTTCTAAGTGGGAATAAGAGGCCAGTAAAATCAAATCTCATGATTTTTTTCGGAAGAAACCAGAAATACAGATTTTGAAAAGTCCTATTTTTTCAATATCAGCATAAAATTTTTCCTGTGAAAAAATCGACTGTTGCTACTGTGTGAATCAAAACAGTTTACAGCCTCTGGTGTGGGAATTTTTTTCCTTTGTTCTATTTTTCTTTATTCTTTTAGAGTGCAAGTACTTAGAGTCTATTTTTTCTCCTTAATTTCTAGTTAGCAGCTTAGTGATTTTGCTAGTTTTCTACGATGAATATTATTGTCAGAAATGACTTCTCTTGAAAATATAAATGTCATTACTTATTTCTAATTTATTTCTATAGTTATAAATGGTGATTTGCTTACTTAGAAGAGCTATTCAATTGTTTTCTGAATTATAATGATTAGACAATTATTTTTGTAGTTCCTTTATCTCCACAGTCTAACATAGATCCTTCTGATTAAAAAAAGAAAAGTTTCCCTTCTCAGTGTACCTTTTGCATAGAAAATAGAGTTAATCACACTCCTTAATTCATGGCATACTGTCATCACTGGTCCCTGCAAAGCACTTATTTAAGGTATTTATTTATTTTCTTCTCTTCTCATTTCTGCTCTCATGCTGCTGACCTTGACCCATAGGAAATCATTCTAATATGTTAGTCTAATATCTATTACACTGTTCTCTTTTGTTCATATATTTTTTCATACCATGAGTATTGTTTTATATATGCATATTTTTCAAGTATTTTAAATATAAAATTTTGAAAAAACATAACAAAGAACAGGAAATATAATACCATGAACTTTTGTGTGCCCGTATCTCAGCTTTAGTGTTTATCTATCTCATGGTTGAGCTTGTCTTAACTGTATCTCTACCCTGCCTTCTCCATTTATGCACATGAAATTTTAATATGCATAAATGGTATTGTACTATGCATCTCATTCTTTTTCTTACTGTTTTATTTTACTTAATCTTATGTTTTTGTCATTTATTTATGTTGTTGTGTTTACATTGCTTCTAACTACTGCATACTATTCCATGGTTTGTAGCTGTCATGTTTTAACTATCCATGTTTCCCAGTGATTTCCACCCAGATTGCTTCTAATTTTCTGTCACAACAAGCAATGCTATGATGAACATCCTATTTGTCTTCTCAGGGAACTTTGTGAGGATTTCTTTGGGTGTATACCTAGGAACAGAACTGCTGGGTAATAGGATATATATGTTTACATTTAATTTGGCCAAGTCCTGCCAGAACCTCTACCAAATAAATACTTTGGTCCACACTTTCACCAGTAGAAACCCCCTCATTCGTGCCAATCCTTGACATTATCTAGCTTTCTAATATTCTCAATCTAATGTGTGTGATTCTATAGCTCATTGTGTCAATCTGAATTCCTCTTATCACTGAGTTTGACTATTTCTTTCATATTCTTGTTTGCCCTTTTGGCTTCTTTCTTCTGAAATTCCTTGTTCATACTCTTTATTTATATGGGTTCCTGTTTATTGATTAATATTTTTCAAGAATTTGTTGTATTTTCTAGATATTCATTTCCTATCAGTTTTAGATAGTTAAAAAAATCTGCTTCCAATTTTTCAACTTTTTAATGTTATACATGATGTTTAAGTAGATACTCATATTTTAAATAGTCAATTAAAGTATTTTCTTGATGTCTACTGCTGATGTATAGAAAATGCTGCTGATTTTTTTGAAACTTGATCTTGGTTCTAACATTGCTGACCTCTCTTACTCTTAATAGATCATTCTTTCCTCTAAGATGATCATGTATCAATTATAAATAATGACAGTCTTATTTCTACCTTTCCCATCCTTGTACTTTTACTTCTTTCTTCTTTTCAATACTTCAGTCAGTTCCCGTGGAACTGTGTTAAATGATAGTAAAGACAGTAGGCATTCTCATCTTATACCCAATGTTAAAGAAAATGTATCTAATTTCTCACTTAAGTATAATGCTCGTTGAAGGTTTTTAATAAAAAACCTTCACCACATTAAGAAAGATTCTTCTATGTCTAGCATGCCATGTATTCTAACCGTAAAGAACTATTGAACCTTATAAAATGTTTTTTATGCCTCTGTTAAAATAATCATATGATATTTACCCTGTGGTGTATTAATGTTGTCAATTATATGGATAGTTTACACCTTACTTGATCATGGTGCAGTATTTTAATATATTATTGTATTTGATTAGCACATATTTTATTTAGGATTTTAGAATCTACGTTCTTTAATGTGCTATAATTTTTTTCCTTCATTTTCCTTATCTGATTTTGCAGTTAAAATTACACTGGCCTTATAAAATGATATGAGTAGCTTTTACTCTTTTTCTGTTTTCTAGAACAACTTTATATAATATGAATTTAGTGTTGCTTTAATGTGTGTTTAAAATCATATGTAAAACTATCTGGTTGTGAGGTTTCTTTGAATGCTATTTATGTCTTTAATGCTGTTTGATCTATTCAAGTTTCTCCCTCATCTTCTTCCAGTACCTCTCCCATGGGTACTGAAAACACCTGATGGTCTCCCCAGCTGCAGGTATAGCCCATACCCACTTTTCTTTCACTCAGGAAATACCTAGAAAATCTTAATGTCCATATCTGAGCCTTGTAACAGTCAGTCCTCTTTTGAACTGAACAGGAATTCAATGTACTAACCCTGACCAATAGGCTATGATCTGCCCAAGCTTGCTTGACTTAAATTCCCACTGCCACATACCTAAATTAATCCTGTATTAGAATAGTTTTCTACTATTCTATAACCAGAAACTTTGGTTAATGATGCTCTGAATTAACTTTCTTACACTCTTAAAACTGTTGCCATACTGCCAGTGTGTCAAGGCTGTGTAAAAGGTAAATATTTTGACAAACAAATATGTAAGGTTATGATGTCCAGGGCAGGTAAGTGTTCAGAAAAAAATGACAGCCATCTGGTCTAATGTTCTGTACAATATATACCAAATTATAGTTAAATCTGGAAGATTTTCACTTTATCTCCAGAGTCTTACATTTTACTGTAACCATGTATTATCAGAAGAATAATTAAAGTTATTTCCATGAACAAAAAGAAAAAGGAGTAGAGATCACAAGCAGGAAATTCATGGACTCACTAACAAAAAGAAATTATCAGTAAACATATAATAGTTACTGTAATTTTTGATGCATTTGAGTGTGTTTCTATCATCTTATTTCAGTTTTTCTTCCATACTTTGACAGTATGTCTTTATTTCTTTTTAATCCTTTCTTACTTACAAAGAAATCCTTGATATTTATGTATCTCCTCTAAAAAAAATTCTTGCAGGAGCCAGACATGTAAGGGACTTAGAGGTCACATTAAGTTATTTAAACTTTAGGTTTTATTTTTACTGTAACAAGAAGCCATTGGTGGGTTGTGAGCATAGGATTGATGTGATTTGTGAAATCTAAAGCATCTTTAGAAAACATAATGATAACATTTATATTTTGTTTTAAAAGCAACTCTTTACAGGCTATAAAATAATAGATTTGTAATTTTTACTATAAAATTTTTAAATAATTAGAAAAATCTATAAATTAAATTAAAAAGCACTTGAAGACATAAGAATTAATAGTTGGCATCTACAACAAGGAAGATAATGATTTTATTAATATACAAAGAGTGCTAACAATTTAATATGGAAGAGACAACCATTTATATAAAAGACTTGAACATGTAATTTATCAACTAAGAAATGCAAATGACTAATAAACATGAAAATGTTCTGTTTTCCAACCTCTTCCTTGCATTGTGGTAACATTTTTCTAGTGATCAATTGCTGCCTATCACTATGTTTTGCTGTTCTTTTCATCCTGTTAGAGTATCTTTGTTGCCAGGACTCTGCTAATTCCTTTTTGTTTTTACTCACAACTGAATGTAATGGTATTATCTGGCACCACGTATGTGTGGGGGTTGGGGGGCAGGGGGGCTGTTAGGGAGGATCCAGACTATTGTTCCAAGTTTGCTTTCCAAGAAGTAGTCTTCTCTTCTGCAATGGACACAAACTTCCTGTAAAAAGGGTTTGTTTGTGTATTCTTTGTGTCGCCCCTACCTTCTCTACTTCTCTAAACCTGAGACTGCTGGATTCTACTGACAACTCAACTCACCTCTGTTCCCATACCTGTGACTATAAACAAGGCCTGTAGCAACTTAAGGTGTGTTATGTACTGTCAGGGCATATTCTTGCCATCATTTTCTGAGAGCCGCCCTGTGGTGTTCTTTACC